GATGGTATCTAACTGATGTTTCCTGCAAGCAATTTTTAAACAGTCCTCTAATGAAAACGAATATAGAATCTTTTTTTGTTCTTAATATCAGAGTCCAAGTGGAAGTGTGTCAAGCAATTAAATCGACCAAATGGATCTTTATAACTTGATTTTGAGAGAGCTTTTTTATTATAAAATTAATTTGAAAAGAAGGAAGCAACAGCCATTCTCTTAAGAAACTATGCACACACAATTTCGTAGTCAATGCTTTCATGTCATAGCTTCCTTTCTTGGGAACAGAAGAAAACATCTTGGCTATGTATCCAATCACTCTATTCACTGAACAACATACCTTTTCTCTCCTTGGTAATATATATAGCCTTCAGCCATAAGGGACAATTCAGAGAAATTCATTTGACAGTAGTGAAAAGGGATGGTGGCTATATATAATCTGATAAATGTTCTGGAAAGCATGCTCATTCAGATGGAAGAATCTTTCTTGCTGTTAAATAGTGCCGCAGTTTGGCTTCAGGCTGCTTTAGCATCTGTGGATTAGTACTGTTCATTCATCCTGATGTTCTGCAAAAAAAGGGATATGGACTAAGGCTCTCTGTCATATAGATGGAGGGATTCCTTGTCATTTATAGATTATATTGATCTTAGAACAACAGCAGAAAAAGTTTTAGTTTATAGGATTATTCTGACTTTTACTAGACTCTGTGGATCCATCATAGCTGGACACACGTAGAATTAAAGAAATTTGAAGTCACAAATTAGTTCTAAGTAACAAAGATGAAAGAATATTAGACCTGGCTAATGCCCCACCATTACTATTTTTTTCCATTGTGCAATGTAACTAAAAGTAAATGAAGTGGAATTTTTATTGCTGCTTTAGAACAACCAAAATTCAGAAATCCTGGTTGAGTCAGCTACTTGGAGATTAATCAATTAATTCAGATTTATTTTAAATTTAAATCAGTTCTGATTTAAGGGCTTCGGTCAATGGGTCAGACAGTCATAAGATATGGTTAGGAATTTTCTTTCCTGCTATTACAGTTGGTTTTTTTATATATATAATTGGATGTTTCCTATTTTTAAACTGTTGTCTGCCCTGAAAACCTTATGATACAGGCAGAGAATGAATAGATCAGGGGTCTAGATCTATAGATCAGGGGTCTCCAACCTTGGCAAGAAGCTAACTGAGGAATTCTGGGAGTTGAAGTCCACAAGTCTTAAAAGTTGCCAAGGTTGGAGACCCCTGCTGTAGATCACGGGTGTCAAACTTGCTGTGTCACGTTGCCATCACATGACGTTTCATGATGTTTTTCCCATTTGTGGAGCTGGGGTGGGTGTGGCCAGCATGTGACGCATCCAGCCTGTGGGCCCCCAGTTTGATACCCCTGCTCTAAATAGTTAACCATATTTTTCTAGTTTTAGGATTATGGAAATGATAAAATCATGTCCTTTAGGAATGTAATAGGAGCATGAGAGTTTATGAAGATGATTTAGGACATTTAAGATAATTGTATGTTTTTGACTTCCTTTTCATAATCCAAGTTTGCAAACCACTGGTATTCATTGTAAAATAGCTCTGTAGCCTTAAACTGTTGTGGTATTTCATCAGTTCAGACAGTGGTGTTTTTCTTTTGGTTCACTTTTAGCAATAAGTTAAGACTTCCTCTGAGAAAAAAGTTCGTTTTTCTAGATTATGTCCCAGGAAATTTTATCCTTTGAGCTTGTTTCAAATGGTTTATACTGAACAAATTCAGGCTATCCATATTTGGATGCTTTTATCAAAAAAAAAAAATGATTTCATTCTTGGAACCTATTTTACAGAACAAGTATTATCATCATTTTCTTTAGAATTGTCTTCAGCGTTTTTATTGATCCTTGGTTGTGTAGGGGAAAAGTTTTGCATCCATTCCATATCCTGAATATGAATTTTAGATCGGACATTTACTTTGCCATGTACAATTGAAGCCACTTTAAACAAAGTACATAACTTTAATTCACTTTTTACTCTCCAAATCTCACAAATTAGTTTGAAGCTGACTCTCAACTGTATTCATTTCTGCTACCCTCAAAATACTGAGAATGAGTAGGAAACACTACAAGCCTCCCAGTCTGCTATCTGGATGACTGACAGGAAAGTTCAACAATTCAGCCATCCTACCCCACTAACAAAAATTCCGATCTTCCCAGAAAAATAAACCATATATAAGTATACATGATCTTTCCCCTGTTGAAAAGCTGCCATTACAACCGTTTCTGTTAAAAACCATCAGCTCTCTTTGGCTGGAAGGACAGCATGATATTTTTGCAGCCAGGCAAAAATATACCCATAGGCATAGTTTTAGAAGTTACCACAAAGGCTGCAAAAGTGTAAAACAATGTAGAGGATGAATATAAGGACTCAGTGATCAGGTTGCCTGTGTTTCTTCTTTAACATAGGTAGGTTGCTGCAGATGCTGAACTCGGGCATTGCCTGCCCACAAGAACTGGAAGGAGTGAGGAAACAAAAACAAAGCCAGTAGGAAAACATGGCCCATAGGCCCTCTTACAAGTAGTCCTCAACCTATGACCCCAATTGAGCCTAACATTTTAGTTGCTAAGTGAAACCATTGTTAAGTGAGTTTTGCTCCATTTTACAACCTTTCCTGTCACCATTGTTAAGTGAATCGCTGAATCGTTGTTAAGCTAGCAACACGGTTGTTAAGTGAATCTGGCCTCCCCGTTGACTTCGTTTGTCAGAAGGTCGCAAAAGGTGAACATATATGACCCTGGGACAGTGCGACTGTTATAAATGTGAGCCAATTGCCGAGTATCTGGATTTTGATCACGTGACCATGGCAATGCTGCAACCATCAATAAGTGGAAAAAAAGTCATTTTTTTCAGTGCCATCGTAACTTTGAATAAACTGTGGTAAATCAAAGACTACCTCTATTGAGGGAAAAAAAGTCTGGCTAATTATCAGATTTAATGTGCAGACACATACAAAAAGCAAACAAGGACCCAAAAGACTGGGAGGTCCAGGGCCAAGCTATGAGCAGCTCAAAGCATATACTTTATGCGGAGTGACTGCAAACACTGCCTGCATGTTATAATTCCTATCTGGACGCTCGGTTCTTTTTCCCAAGATATAATCAGCCATGGACAATATAAAATAAAGAGACAGTTGAATTCTATGTTGCTTGATTTTGCGGGAGGAAGTGGTTGAGCAAGATATTTTCAGTTGGCTTGTTTTCTTAGTGTATCAATTTTTGCTACGGCTTACTAGTTTGCATTCCACTAGGATCAGTTTCCACAAGTCCTTAGAAGCAGAAGAAGACATCTGTTTCCTTGCTCTTCTCACTATTAATATTTTTCAATGGAAGCAGCAATCACAAGAAAATAGCAAACTACAGACTAGGCAAAGAGGAGACTGGCAGTGGATCCTTCCTTGAACAGGAAACCGCTCTAGCAACTGCTCCCAAATGTCATCTCTGTATAGCTAATGAAATCAATAGGTAAAACAGTAGCTTGTTTTTTGTGGTGCATTTTCATCGGCTAGTCCAATAATATTTGATGAGGTAGCCTATTTATTTTTCTTCCAATTTTGGTGGTTTTGCCCGGCTTTTAGTTTCTCAGGTTAAAATTGAAATTCTTAGCCATCTCGCTTCTTACCAATCTCTTTGTGCAGTTGATAAAGCTGTTTTTAGAGCTGCTTTTGCATTTCCAGGACAGCTTACTGGAGAGCATTTTTCTACTTGGGAAGAGAGTCCCTGGGGGCCTCTGGTCATGCAGAAGTTCCTCTAATGATCATACATTACAGAGAACTAATTATTTCAGGGCGGATCCTTCTGCAACCATAACAACATCCATCTATCACATTAGGATGTTTGCAGAACATTCTCTCTCTCCCTCCCTCTCTCTCCCTCCCTCTCTCTCTCTCTCTCTCTCTCGCATTTTGATAACTGTCAAGTTCTGAACAAATCAAAAGCTAAGAACATACGTTTCAGAAACACATTCTTTCTGCCAGCCTGTGGTAAAAGCATAATCTTGAAAATTGGAAAAATATCACTTCCAGGCTGACTTATGCAAGCTAATTAAACATTTGAAATATTTGCTCTCCCTGTCTGGGCTATGCTGCTTCATCTGACACAAGTGAACTCTTCCACCTGCTTGTCACAATGGGGAATAAAAAACAATTCCCAGCCATTCAATACTGTCCAGTGGGGATTAAGCAATTATGAAGGCTACTGGTACAAAGTAAAATTAAATGGAATATTTCAGATGGAGGTATAACAATTGTTTGTTAGAAACTATTTATTTCTGAAATATTTCATGTTTCTCAATTTCATTGAACTGAAAAAAATAACTGCAGAGGGTGATTGTTTTAATATGAATAATAGTTGGTTCTGGTGGTAAGTCCCTGAGGAAGAAAGATGCTTTGAATCTAGCTTGCTTTTACGTGGGTTTTTTTCCTGCAGTTTTTTTCTGGTGACTAATTGTGATTTTCTATTACATTGTAACTGATTATTCTGTTCATTTACATTTTAGAATTTAAACAGTTCTTCATCTGAAATTTAAAGAGAGAATGTGACAAAAGATGTTTTGAATTGCATGTCTCTCAAATACTGTAATTTTCTTGATGGGCAGAATCGATTGTGATTGCCAGTTGACAGCTGGAGCAATTGGATTGTGATGTATGAAATGGCCCCAAGTAATTAAAACTTTAAAATTAGGAATTTGCAAAATCTCATTTAAATATTTCAAATCCAATTGACTTACATTTGGAATAAAGTAGCTGCTTCAGCATTTAACTGAGAATTAGAAACATTGGCTGTATTGAACTGAACAGTTATGGGTAATAGGTATCACAATGGACTTAATTATCTCATAACATTGGTACTCTTTAAGTATCAATAAATCTTCATTTTCATACTACTTATGCATAATTAATGTACTACACCTTGCAGTAAATATACCTTGCAATTCAGCATTAATCTCCATAATTCTAGACGTTTCTGTCATCTCTTAGGTTTCGTCACAGCCCTAATTGCTTTTATTTAAGAGACTGGATCATCCACAGCTGGATAAGGAAGTGCCTTAAGTTCGGTGCACAGGATAAAGCTTTGTATACTGTACAAAACAAGGTTTTTAAATTTTATTATATTTTATTTTGTATGTAAAAAAGGAAACTAACAAAAGAGAAAAAAACAAATGTCTTTACAAAATCATACTTTGCTCATGTACTCATCAAAACTAATGTTACATGGGAAATTCTTGACACGTTACAGTATTAAATTATTAATTTTTAAACCAGTCTTCTTAGCATGCATAAAAATGGAAAAGGAAAAAAGGAAAATGTAAACATTATGTCAATCCATAATTTGCAGGGATTCCTGGTGAGAAAAATTCTAATTCAATCAGAGCAAAAATTACGTTGATCAGACCATTATATAATAGATGTGAGAATGGATGTTCTTGTATCATAAACTTTTTATGATCATAAATGCATGATTTCTATTTCCATTTTCCACTTGATTCTTTCCGAACCATTAATATTTAATTCAAAAGATCCAGAATATCTACAAAAGAGAATAATTCTTTTTGAACAGTGTTAATATATGAAATAACCTAAATAGTTTAATAGAAGGGACCCTCTAGCATAGAGCCACATCAGGTGAGTATCATATCAAGCCAAAAAGTATTGAGTACCACATCTGCAATAATGATCTGCACCCCTCTAGTTCTTTATTTGATTTATTTTAAATGTATCCAAATGTCCAATGGACACAAAATAATCATTTTTGATTTAAATATAACTTTAGAACTAGAGAACTGACATATAAATACCCAATTGGTCTTCCATTCACATTTGAATGCTGAACACTATAATTCCTTACTTCATTTCTCTTTGATGCTTTTAAATTTCTTAGTATATTCTAACAAAGATTCATAAATAGTTATTGTGGGCTTTATTTGTGAAGACATATTAATCTTTTAACATAAAACAAAGAAGGGGGCACATTCTGTAACACTTAAGCTACATATCTGGATGTCAGAAAATAGTGTTATTGAAAAAAATGCTAATGCTTGGATTGCAACTATTCAAATAATGAGCATGTGTGATTTCATCTTATTAATGAATGTATTAATATATTCCACACTGCATCTGGGTTCCTCAATAAAAGGATTACCTTGCTATTTTAAAATTTAAAGTAAGAGTTATTTTTACTTGTCTTTTTATAAAGGACATTTATTAGTTATGCTGAAATCCTGAACAAATAGAGTTCATTTTATGTTCCTTTTTAACATATTATGGATATGATCTGGCCCAAGTAAAGAAATATTATCTTGATTTCAAAAAGGGTAATTTAACCCCTGCTTATGTGTCTCCCACTGAAATCCATCAGTGAATACCTTTAACACTTGCCTAGATTGTGATCAATTTGTTTATTAAGGGATTTGATAAATAGCTTGATTTATTTAATCAGACTGCACACACTACAGTAAGCATTTAAAGGAATGACTTTTATTTAACTGAGAACTATTTTGAACAAAAGCAGAAATATCTGTCTGAGCCATTTTCCTGTGCTCCGAGAGCCACATTCCTTGAAGTATTTACTGTCTTATGTTTTTGCCTGGCACTCCAGTTAGATTTTTGAGGTCTCCTGAATCAGCGGTACAAAGATATCTTTAATGTCAATGTGCAATTAAAGGAAATGGTTCTTATTGCTAAAAGTTTTGAAGGCTTGGATGAAAGGATACAAAAACATGTTCTTCTTTCCTGGTGTGCCAAAGTTTAGCAGGAAACAAAATGAAATGGCAGAAATTTCGGAATACCATCTCTCCTTGGCTTGGAATGCTAAGGCCATTTATGTAGTGCGTGTTGGAGAATATAATACGTGTCCCTGTGAGAGCTCATGCTTGTGTTTAATGAAAAATAAGAGTACTAATTTCCCTGTAAAAGTTCACAAGTAGAAAGTGGCTGGGTACATTCACGTAGCCAGATGGTTATGTGCCCTAATCGCTGCTGATGAAAAGAAAACATAACATGAGGTCTGCTGAATGTATAATTCAGCCTCTCTTCTTGATTAAAAGATTAGCCTAATGGAAGGGAGGTGGGAAAGCTGTCATGGATTTCCTGAAGCATAAGTCAATTAATGCTGCCTCAGCTGAAGTAGCATTTTTCAAACGTGGTAACTTTAAAGATGTGTGGGCTTCGGTCCCAGAATGCCAAGGGCTGAAATGTATGAAAATTTAACGTGGCCAAGTGATCTAAAGGCTATGCTAGCCAATGGGTACAACAACTGTTTTCTTCTAGCACAAGCTGCTCTGCAAATTCTTTATGTTCCCATGTCCACCTATGAAAGCCAAAACAGAAGTGGAATGCTTGCTGATAGACATCTCTTTAGTTTTGCTCAGCCATGTCATGCGTTCAGGCCACTATTCAGAATTACTAGAAGTACGACATTAACATAACTTTGTTCTCTGCTCATTTTTTTTCTCCAGGTACAGTTTGGAATAATTCCAGATAGTTTTACCTTCAATATATTATTGGATTCTTTTATAAAAGATGAGAACTATGAAAGTAAGGAACACATATTTATTAAGCATTAGGTATTATGTATATATTAAGTATTTCACCCTTAATATGCATTGTGTGTTTCTGAATTTCTGGACGTGGCCATTTTTGAGCCTATTTCTTTTTAACTAATTTGCCATGATTTCAGGAATAGATATTTTTTTAAAAAAGGAAAGGGATAATAGACGTAAAGCAGGTGGCAAAGTTGATGCAATGACACTGAATTCTTCGCATAAAAAGATATATAGGTTGTCCTCAAAATGCAAACATTTGTTTAGTAACTGTTCAAAGTTACAACACTGAAAACTTACAACTGATTTTTGCACTTAATGACTGTTGTAGCATCCCTGAAATTACATGATTAAAATTTGTGCAAGAAACTTAGAGATATTAAATTAAACCAGAATAACAGTGGTGCAAGTTCATTTCATATGTTATCAGTGTCTCCCCATTATTTCACAGTTCCAAAATAATGAAATTGACCCAAATATTACCCAAAGAATTAGATCAAATTGTGAAGTCAGCAGATATTTGAATAGGATATTCTACTATTCTGCAGTTTTAGGAATTCAAATTCCCTTTGCCAAACCAGCTTTGTTTTTTTCAGGTTGTGGGAAGACTATAGTATCATGACTAGGAAACTAAATTGATTTTTCATTCCAATATCTTCCATGCTAGCAACAGTATAATAATGAGTACATGGGACTTCTCTTGGAGGGAGCTACATGATCAGATTATAATGAATTTTGGATGTGATCACCTGGATTCTACCGTGTTTCTCATATAATAAGGCCGGGTCTTATTTTTTTTTGAGTTCTGAAAAAATGGCTAGGACATCTTTTTGGGGGTGAATTAATTTCTCCCCCCCCTCCCCCCGCGCAGCATCTGAGTCTCTCCCGCTTTTTCCCTGTCCCTGTAACAACAGGAAAAAAAAAGATTTTGAGGTACCTGGAAGCACCACGTGCTGCGTTTTGGTTTAATCCCGAGTGGCTGGGTGGGCGTGAGAAGAGCCAAGTGAGCGTCTCTGCTGCTGCTACCCTTGGTGCTCCAGCCTTGGGCTCTGCACGTTTGCAAAAGTCCCGGTATGCAGCCCGTTCCTGCATTCCAAGTGCCCAGGCCAAGCTGCAGCTGTCCCTCTCTCACCAGTGCCATCTCCAACAACAGCGGCAGCAGTGGCGGGAACCATGGAAGTGTTTCAGCCGCTTCTCGGGTGGGGAGCCACCTCCGTAACTCCCATGGTTCCCGCCGCCGCTGCTGCTGTTGTTGGAGACGGCACTGGCTTGGAATGCAGGAACGGGCTGTGCACCGGGACTTTTGCAAACTTGCAGAGCCCGAGGCTGGAGCACCAAGGGTAGCAGCAGCAGAAACGCTCACTTGGCTCTTCTCATGCCCACCCAGCCACTTGGGATTAAACCAAAACGCAGTGCGCAGTGCTCCCAGGTACCTCAAAATGTTTTTTTTTCCTGTTGTTACGGGGACGGGGGGAAAGCGGGAGAGACTCAGATGCTTTTGTTGGACACGGTGCTGGTGAGAGAGGTGCCAGCACCTGTGGGAACCGTGGAAGCTACGGAGGCCTGAGAAGTGGCTGAAACGCTGCCGGACATCCACGCTGACGCCGCTCCATCCCTCCATCCCTCTGTGCTCCACCATGATTGGCTGTTAGGAGCGGCTGATGGTGAGGTGTAGCTGCCCGTGGGGCACTCCTAATGGCAAGTTCCCCCCTGCCTTCCCCCCACCCCCAATTTTGCATGTTTTAAACTAGGCCTAAATTTGGGGGTAGGGGCTTAATTTCATTTTATGCCTAGAAAACATGCTGAGTCTTCCTATGGGGGGGTCGTATTGTTGGAGAAACACGGTAGAAAAAGAAAAATCAAGATGTAAAGCTGAACAGCAGAAAAATTTAAAACTTCAAAATCAGATGACAATGATAGTTTAGGTAAAGAAAACCAAAATATTTCTCCTTCCTTAATTTATAAATCTAATAAATGGTATTAGTATAGGTATTTAATTTGTATATTAAAATATATGTGAATCCAGTCAAATATATATATTAGTCCTAAAATAATATTAATTTGTACATTGTTTATCTTTCCCCATAATGTCACTGGGATTTTTAATCACTTGTTTATGTCATGTTAATCTGAAATAGTTTGATACGTTCATTTCTATAAATACACTGGTGGGATCATTATTATAATATATTTTAAGCAACCATTTTAATGCTTGTTTTTATTATTTTTAGATGCTATGGCTGCAGTGACTGAGATAATGATACAGGAAGATTTCAGTAAGGTGTCCACCCAACTTCTCTCTCTTTATACTATGTACAAATATTTGGCAACCAAATCAGAACTTACGGTAAGTTACTTGCATAATGAAATGTTTGTGGTTATGGCTAAAGAATAATATGCTCAAATGCTGCATGTCCATACTTTCAAAATATGATTTAAAGCCAAGTTGAAGAGACTTAACATCCTTGGGTGTAATTTAAATTGCCAACCTATTTCAGCTGGTATGTGGCCCTTGATTGACCCCATGGTTACTCTTCCTTCTCCCCAAATATCTCCTTATCTTCATAGTCCTATTTAAAGAAACTGAAGCATATTTGTAATATAAGCTAATATAATTATAAATATGGTTAGAATCATTCTGTTGTACTACTACTATTGCTATCAGTATATATGTTGCTATATACACTGCTCAAAAAAATAAAGGGAACACTTAAACAACACAATGTAACTCCAAGTCAATCACACTTCTGTAAAATCAAACTGTCCACTTAGGTAGCAACACTGATTGACAATCAATTTCACATGCTGTTGTGCAAAAGGAATAGACAACCTGTGGAAAGCATAGGCAGTTAGCAAGACATCCCCAATAAAGGAGTGGTTCTGCAGGTGGTGACCACAGACCACTTCTCAGTTCCTATGCTTCCTGGATGATGGTTGGTCACTTTTGAATGCTGGCGGTGCTTTCACTCTAGTGGTAGCATGAGACGGAGTCTACAACCCACACAAGTGGCTCAGGTAGTGCAACTCATCCAGGATGGCACATCAATGTGAGCTGTGGCAAGAAGGTTTGCTGTGTCTGTCAGCGTGGTGTCCAGAGCATGGAGGCGCTACCAGGAGACAGGCCAGTACATCAGGAGACGTGGAGGAGGCCGTAGGAGGGCAACAACCCAGCATCAGGATTGCTACCTCCGCCTTTGTGCAAGGAGGGACAGGAGGAGCACTGTCAGAGCCCTACAAAATGACCTCCAGCGGTCCACAAATGTGCATGTGGCTGCTCAAATGGTCATAAACAGACTCCATGAGGGTGGTATGAGGGCCCGACGTCCACAGGTGGGGGTTGTGCTTACAGCCCAACACCGTGCAGGACGTTTGGCATTTGCCGGAGAACACCAAGATTGGCAAATTCACCACTGGAGCCCTGTGCTCTTCACAGATGAAAGCACATGCGTCAGACGTGACAGGGTCTGGAGACACCGTGGAGAATGTTCTGCTGCCCGCAACATCCTCCAGCATGACCAGTTTGGCAGTGGGTCAGTAATGGTGTGGGGTGGCATTTCTTTAGGGGGCCACACAGCCCTCCATGTGCTCGCCAGAGGTAGCCTGACTGCCATTAGGTACTGAGATGAGATCCTCAGACCCCTTGTGAGACCATATGCTGGTGCGGTTGGCCCTGGGTTCCTCCTAATGCAAGACAATGCTAGACCTCATGTGGCTGGAGTGTGTCAGCAGTTCCTGCAAGACGAAGGCATTGATGCTATGGACTGGCCCGCCCATTCCCGAGACCTGAATCCAATTGAGCACATCTGGGACATCATGTCTCGCTCCATCCACCAACGCCACATTGCACCACAGACTGTCCAGGAGTTGAGAGATACTTTAGTCCAGGTGTGGGAGGAGATCCCTCAGGAGACCATCCGCCACCTCATCAGGAGCGTGCCCAGGCGTTGTAGGGAGGTCATACAGGCACGTGGAGGCCACACACACTACTGAGCCTCATTTTGACTTGTTTAAGGACATTACATTAAAGTTGGATCAGCCTGTAGTGTTTTTTTCCACTTTAATTTTGAGTGTAACTCCAAATCCAAACCTCCATGGGTTGCTAAATTTGATTTCCATTGCTAATTTTTGTGTGAGTTTGTTGTCAGCACATTCAGCTATGTAATGAACAAAGTATTTAATAAGAATATTTCATTCATTCAGATCTGGGGTGTCTTATTTTTGTGTTCCCTTTATTTTATTGAGCAATGTATGTAAACTTGGCAAAAAAAACCCAACAAAAAATGAGAAAACTGAAGTATATCATGGATCTACTATTCACTTTTACAGTTTACTTTCTTCCTAAACTAGGGGTGTCAAACTCTATTTCATTGAGGGCCGCATCAAGGTTGTGTTTGATCTTGGGCCCCAGGGTGCATGGCCAGAGGGTGTGGCCAGCATGATGTGTTGGGGGTGCCTGTGGTGACCCAAGCATTCTGCCAGTGAAAATGGGTTCCTGGGCCCGGTTTTAGGCTGTGATGGCCTCCTGCAGCCCTCTGCCAGTAAAAACCGAGCTTGGGGAGGCTATGCGCACCCTTCCCTCAGCTCCGTTTTCGCTGGCAGAGGGCTGCAGAAGGCCATCGCAGCTGAAAACGAAGCCTGAAACGGCTGCACATGGTCCTCCCAAGTTCCGTTTTTGCCGGTAGAGGCACCGCAGGCCGTCCTTTGCTGTTTCAAGGACGGCCCTGTGGGCCAGATTTAAGCACCCCATGGGCCAGATTCAGCTCATGGGCCTTGAGTTTGACACCCCTGTCCTAAGCTCAGTGAAGCTAAATTTGTGTCTTGAGATTTTTAAGAAATGTTATATTTACATCCACAAGTGAAGGAAGTTGCTGTTTGTGCCTGTCGCTGTTTTCACATTGCTGTCCCCTTTCTCTGTGTGTGAGAGGACATGTAGTGCGAGAAAGGGAGGGAAGGAAGGAAAAGAAGGAAAAGAAAGTTGAACTTCAACTTCAAGTTGAAGTTAGTTCCTCATTTCATTACATAAGGGACATGCCATAAGTTGTCTTAGCAATATTTTAGAAGTGCTTTGACATGAGTTCTTTTTTGAACTTCAGAGCAGGGGTGTCCAACTAACAACTTTATGACTGTGGACTTCATCTCCCAGAATTCCCCAGGCAGGCATTAGCGTCTAGTTTGCAGCCCTGATATTCCCTACCCAATTATTAATGAAGCCCAAGGCTGTTTAGAGTGCAGCGAGCCCTAAAATGAGATCTAAAGAAGGGCTTGTTGAAGCACATTACAGATAGAGTATAACTCTGTTCTGCTGTCACATTTTTCAAGCAATATTTCCTGTTTTCAGTGGGAAGAAGAGAAAAACCTTGGAGCATCTCTGTTCTTAGTGGGCCTCAAGCAGACTAACACTGTAGGACTTAGTTCTCAGCTATATGGCCTTGCCCTTCTTGGTAAGTTTTAACAACATTTTAATTGAAATAATACTTCTGTATTGCTTTATTGATTCATTTGGAATAAATGGGATTTCTTCCATTAAATACTAACATGCCTTGACACAATACAAAATTAAAACTAAATCAAATCATTTTGGCATTCACTCTACATAGTGCAAAATTCACCTGGCTGGCCAAAGTTCCACTGAATATTTGAAAAGCCCAAAAGGTATCATCTATCTTTCTGTTGTCTTCTCAATCATCTTCCGACAAAATATTCATCCGAGAAAGGGGATAAATGGTAACAAGTAAGCATGATTTCTTAGGTATATATGAGGAAGTCCCTGGCTATTTTCTAACTAGAGCCCCAAGATTAAATATTTTCTATGTAGCATTATAGATTCCTTTGCTGTATCCTCCAAGCGAACTTACTAGGGACATTAGTAGGTGTTGGTTTAAGGCTGAATAGGACTTGGAGCCAACTTGAACTGGGGCCGGACTGTTCAGAGAAAGATACGTTTGAAATGTCCTCCTTGTAGCCCTGTTTTTTTTTTTTATAATGCTACTTGTATGTATGGGAAACTATTTATCTGAAATCAATTATTATTTAGTATGTATTAGAAACCATAAATTAACATTTAAAGAAGAGAGAATGTTCCTTCTGGGATAGTTCCTAATCCCTTCCATTCATTCTGGCATTTATCTTTTGATTAAAATTCAGCATACAATATCTGAATTCCCTCTGTTTCAGTATCTTTTATATTTTACAGCGGCTTTATTGTTTCCATTAAAATTCCCTTGCCCTCCCCTATGAATAGCTGTTAATTGGCCTGCTACCTTCAGGTGAGAGAGAGGCCTTATCAAAACGTGTTAGATAGTTACCCTTTTGCATGCATTGGTTTCTCAGCTCTGATAAGAGTGAAGATGACACATCGGGATTAGATGCTGATCCTGATTTTACCTTATGGTACAGTTTAAAAAGTGGCAGTAGAGATCAAAATTGTAAGCCAATTAGCATCACATTTTTATCCCACTTCAGCTATCCTTTTGAAAATCTGTCTTTGATTAGCATTTTCAAATCTTTAAAATACATCCCTCCCTGATCAGTTTAAAAAGGAATTGGCTTTAGCAAATCACTTTACTTCTGTAGACAAAAGATTCACCTGAACATTCTGATGCTCAGAAGCAATTTTCTATTGTGCTATATGCATTTTGCAATTATGCCAGATCTAATGGAATATATTTGTAAAAAGAATAAAAGATGCTCATTCATTTATGAAATTTATATGCTGCCCATTTCACTGTCAAGCAACATTCACACTCTAGGCATCGGGTTGGCCTTCACCCATAAAGACCTGGTTACAGGTGGAGACCCTTTGAGAGCTGTATGCAACAAAATTTCATTTGAATGTATGCTGATTAGTGTACATTCAAAGTGACAATAAAGTTAGTCTAAGTCCAAGTCTTAGCCTGGTTTATAATATTACTGAATATTTACATTTTTCCAATATTTGTATTTGTTTTTACTTTATTTTAAACCTGTTTACCACCCAAAGTCACTAGTTGTGATGCAACTGTATCAATCAAATAATTAAACAAGAGTATCGAATTTAATCTCAACTAGGCCAAGAAATACTTATTGAAACCAGACACTCTTCTCCGAGAAGAACTATACAGATGTTGTTTCAACATTGTAGAGCAGAGGTCTCCAAACTTGGCAACTTTAAGACTTGTGGACTTCAACTCTCATAGCTGGCTGGAGAATTATGGGAATTGAAGTCCACCAGTCTTAAAATTGCCAAATGTGAGGACCCCTGTTGTAGAGAATTATAAAAGCAAAGGGAGAAACTGAAAAGCATCCTGAATGGATTTCTTAACATCCCTCTGGGAATTTTGTGAAGCAAGGGTCCCCAACCCCCGAGCTGCGGATTGGTACCGGTACACAGCCTATTGGGAACCAGGGTGTGCAAATGGCAGGTGAATGCACACAGTTTCATTTGTGCATGGCCGGGACCTAGGTTGCATGCAAAAACATACCCTCCCACTCCTCCTTGCCGCTGCTGCCACCGCCGCTGCCACCGCCACCAGTCTGAAAGGTTGGGGACAGCTGATACATATAGTGCCTGCTTTCTGCTTTGAATGTAACTGCAATAATAGAGGAGGAGATTTTGTTATTATTATGGCCTGCATAGAAGAAGGTGTTAAACTATTCCTTTCCATATTCTATAATCTCAGTTAAAATTTTCTGCCAACCCCCTAGAACTCCATATTCATTTTTAAAGAAAATGCTGACATTGTTTCTAGTGTCATATTCATCATCACATCTCTTTGACCCCCACGCATTAGCTGTGTTTTCTGGTTTAAGCAATGGCATCAACAGCTGTTAAATCACAGGTAAAGTGGAGCTACAGAAAGGATTGCGAGCTGTTTACCACCTAATGCCGCTCATGTGGACCCCGGGATATCTGAACAGAGCCTTGAAAGTAATGGAGGATGTGGCCTTACTTCCTGAAGATGTGAAGCTTTGCCAGGAAGCAGTAAGTGAAAACTCATTTAAGCCAATGTGGCCTGGTCTATTTGTGACTCAGCAGCTGGGTTGCTACTATTCTCGGCACTATTTTATATAGCTTTGTTTTATATATGCACTGAAGTATTTCTTGAATACTACTGGCATGGAGGACAAGAGTGTCATACAATCTTGTGGGCGTGGGAGGTTGAAAGTGCTCCCTTTGCTTTTTCAGCTTTCCAATTGTTCTTTTAAACGCTGTTTTAATTCTGTTTATTTGTTGTTTTTAATTATGGCTTTTGTATAACTTTATCATTTTTTCTTTGTAAATCGTTAGAGTCATGTAAGAATGATGGGTGGTATAGAAAATTGATTGATTAATAAATAAATAAACCTTCCCCTTAGGGAAAAAAAATTCCAGAAAGCCAAGACAAATGCTTTCTTTGCCCTTACCTCGTTGCTGATTCTGATTCTGACAGTTATTGATAGTGCAGCTGATCTTTCCCGTTCCTTGAGTCTAATAACTCTTTCCGCAGTGCTGAGGAATAGCAACTTCTGGAAAACACATTCAAAAAACTCATAGTACAGAGTAGCTCAAATTTCCATTCAGACAGCCTTTTCGTTTACCTGTTATCAAAGAAAGGGTACAGGTACAGGATTCTGTTGAAAATCATAGACAACATGATATGAAGCCTTTTCTTTCCAAAACAGGGATTCAGATAGACATTATATAACATAATACATTATAATCTCTTCTTGTAATTGTTACAATGGTTCAAACTATTATCAGCAAAGAGCATCTGTGACTTATTTGGAGTCAAAATCAGTAGTGATTTCAGAAAGGCTTGGTCTGTTCATCAAATAGCAGTCTTCAACCAACATACAAACATGAAAAAACCAACCTAAAAATTCTTAATATTTTCAGTTTTAAAACTATTTTGGTCTTTAAATAGTTTGTTATATATTGCATTTCATATTTTCAGTTTACAATACATGCTTTCCATAAAGTTAAGCCCTTTTCTGCACTTAAAACCATGAGTTTTGGAAAAAAACAAAAACAAAAAATTAAGGTAATGTATCATATTTTCAAACCACTCTGTTGTTCAGATTTAATTCCTAAGTTTTGTTTGGCTTTTAATTTTAATGTTTTGTTCTCAAAATGTTAAGGAAGATGCACAAACTATGAAAAATATTCACATACATGACACTTTTTAATGTTGTTTTAAGACATCCATGGCATTTTTTGCTTTTTTGCTGCAAAGGTTGATGTTCTGGGAGACATTTTGCACCTAGCACCTGAGCCCAAGGTTTCTCCAGAAGATTCCAAGGATTCAGAAGATGCACCAAAGCAGACACCGCCAGAAGAAAATGAGGTGCTTCGACTGCCTGAATATCTAAAGCATTTTAAGGTATGGAGTTTCCTTCCATTTCTGTTTTTTTCCCCCTTCCTGAGGAAATAAGACTCCATTGCTACCCCACTAGTAATGGCACCAGGTTCTTGGGTACAGAGCTACATTCTTACTGTTTCAGACAGGAATTTTACTGGAGGAAAACATGTTCAGTGTCATTTTCCTACTACCTGTTCGCTGAGAATTTGTTTTTACTTTTTATACATCTGCCTTAATCAGCGAAACTCCTAATAATTAAAATGAAATGTCACTCCTAGCCTCTTGTCCTTTGCATCATATATCTGTTGGAAAGTTTTCCTGTGATTCTGAGTTCATATCGGACATAGAAAATGTGTATCACAGCATCATATTTATTCTTTTTAGATCCTCATCACCTCAAAAGCTTTAGATTTATTAGCTTCCTTCCTTTGACTAGTTACTGAATGATGTCTTTATGTAAGTGATTACATGGCACTGATATAGCTTAATGATTAGAATGTTGGACTACACCTGTTAGATAAAGACCCAAGTTGAAGCTCGTTGTTTGCTAAAGCACTTAAAAATGTCCTCTCAATCTAATTTCCTTATACAGTAGTCTCTGTATGGTTTCTCCTATGTATACTGTCACCTCCCAAGAAAAAGCTAGATGTACTATATCCTCTATTGTATATATTTTAAGGCAGGGATATCAAACTTGATTTGATTGAGGGCTGCATCAGGGTTGTGTTTGGCTTTGGGGGGCTGGGGTGGGATGCGTGCTGGTGTGCCTGTGGCCAGCTCAACATCACTCCGTTTTCGGCTGTGGCAGCCTCTTGCAGCCTGCTGACAGCTAAAACGGAGTCCATGCACATGGCCTCCCCAAGCTCCATTTTTGCTGTCAGATGACTGCAAGATGCCGTCATGGCTGAAAATGGAACCTGGGAGGCCCATGTGTGGCTCTCCCGATCTCAGTTCTTGCTGGCAAAGGCACCACAGGCCAGTCCTTTGTTGTTCCCAGGGTGGCCCCGTGGGCCAGATTTGGCCCACGGGCCTTGAGTTTGACACCCCCATTTTAAATGCTCAATTGAAATCTAAATAATCAGAAATCACCAGGATTGAGAAAGAATTATAAAATAGTGAATGTTTTATCAATGACCTAAATTATCTGCTCCCACCCCCTGATCTTCCATAAGGGCCTGAAAACATGACTCTGCCAGTTGGCTTTGGGTCCCAGTAGGGGAGTGCCATGCTGGAGGTGGTTAGTAGATAAATAGCAAATCCCACCTTACCCACTGTATACCTTGTTTCCTCCCTCCCCATCTTTTTACCATAGCTTATAATCTTATTGCTATATGTATATTTGTATTGTTTTATTGGTTTTAACTCTGCAGGTCATTCAGAATTGCCTTGCGATGTGATGGGCAGCAAATAAGTTTAATAAATAAAAGAAAAGAAAATAATGTCAGAATGAGCCTAGTGCCTTGCTGACATTTCAAAAGCTATGAAACCTAAATAAATTTTTAACAAAACCTGAGAAGAAAGTGTTTGACAGTCATCTTGCCTATCTCACTATTATGGCTCATGAGCCCTGGTGGCGCAGTGGTTAGAATGCAGTATTGCAGGCTAACTTTGCCCACAGCCTGAAGTTTGATCCTGATGGGCTGATCCTGCAGTCTTCTGTCCTTTCAGGGTTAATAAAATGAGAGCACAATATGCTGACATTGTGAACTGCTCAGAGAGTACTGTAAAGCACTATGGAGCTGTATATAAGTCTTAAGAGCTATTGCTGTTGCTTGCCATTAGGGCATTAAATTAAAACAAAAGGGTGAGGTTGGGAAAAGTCCAAGACCTAATATCCATCCAAATATTAAGACAAAGAAAGCAAAACACAAAGGAGAAGAGGAGACTAGAACAAGCTTTACACAATACCAAGCGTCAGTAGAGCAGAATGCTGATATTTCTGCACTAATACATGATCGTGAAAGAAATAGGGAGAACTAGCGATCCTAATTCGGGAAAACAAAGACAAATATAAAGTGATGGGTATCACTGAAATGTATCGGGATGATACTCAGGATTGGCACATAGCCACGACAGTGTAATTTATTCAAAAGGAACCAGACCCAAGAGAAAGGATGGAGGATTGCTACATGGTACATAAAAGAAAAATGTACATGAACAGAAATTCAGCAGAGCATGTTGAAAGTATCTGGAAATAATAATGAGAGAGAGAGAAAATGACACCACTTTGGGAATTTTGTATAGACCATCAGTGCAAGCAGAAGAAATAAATGACACCTTTCTGCATCTGGCAACCAGTTTTCAAAGATGTATGAAGTAACAATGATGTTTAGTTTTTAGTTATCTTGATAATCAGTTATCTTGATAAAAAAAAATAGAGGGAGTTGAAACTTCAGGAACCTTGGCTGAGAGTGACCATGTCATACTAGAATTCAACATAACACAAACACAAGCAACAGAACATAATGACACCAGAGTCTTGGATTTTAAAAGAGCTGATTTCAATAAACTCAGAGAGAACTTGGAAGATTCCATGGGGAATCTTTCCCCTAAAGGGGAAAACAACTCAAGAATCTTGGGAAACTCTAAAAAGTATGATCATAGAAGCCCAGACCAGCACAATACCACTGAGAAAGAAAAACAAGAAATCCAAGAAGAAACCAGCGTGGCTACACAAAGATCTCTTTGGCAAATTGAAAGAAAAAAAGGACAAGTACAAAAAATGGAAAGAAGGACATACAACTAAGGCAGAATATCAGCAGATAGCCAGAATCTGCAAAGATGAAGTCAGGTTAGCAAAGGCTCAGAACAAACAAAGACTTGCAACAAAAGTCAAAGATAATAGAAAAAAAGTTTCTTTCAACATATAAATAACAAGAAAAAAATCAAGGAAACAGTTGGTCCACTAAAGAGAGAAGATGGCAAGGAAGTAACAGGCAACAGAGAGAAAGCAGAACTGCTTAACTCATCCTTTCCCTCTGTCTTCACACAAAAAAAAACTATAGCTCAACCCACCAAAAACATAACTGTAAAAGACAGACCAGAAATAAAAGTTAAAATAAACAAAAAAAAAATAGTAAGAGAACACCTGTCTGATCTTGATAAAAACAAATCACCGGGGCCTGATGGATTACATCTCAGAGTTTTAAAGGAGCTGGCAGAGGTCATCTCAGAACCACTGCACCATATCTTTCAAAAATCCTGGAGCACCGGGGAACTACCAGAGGACTGGAAAAGAGCAGATGTGGTTCCCATCTTCAAAAAAGGAAAAAAAAACAGACCCAGGAAACTATAGACCAATCAGCCTAACATCAATTCCCGGGAAGACACTGGAAAAGATAATTAAAAAACAGATCTGCCAACATCTAGAAACAAGTAAAGTAATAACCAGCAGTCAGCATGGGTTTGTTAAAAACAGATCATGCCAAACCAATCTTATTTCATTCTTCAACACAGTGACTAAATTAGTAGACCAGAAAAATACTGTGGACATAATATATTTAGATTTCAGCAAGGCATTCGATAAAGTAGACCACAATCTACTTCTTAGTAAGCTAGAAAAAAGTGGAATAGATAGCACCACCACTAGATGGATTCGCAACTGGCTGGCAAACCGTACTCAACGAGTAGTCCTTAATGGGTCTAAGTCTACATGGAGGGAAGTAAGCAGTGAGGTGCCACAAGGTTCCGTCTTAGGCCCAGTACTCTTCAATATCTTCCTTAACGACTTAGATGAGGGAATAGAAGGGGAATTTACCAAATTTGCAGATGATACTAAGCTGGCAGGAATAGCTAACACCTAAGAAGATAGGCTCAAGATCCAGATGGATCTTGACAGACTAGAACACTGGGCCATATCTAACAAAATGAAATTCAATGTAGAGAAAAGTAAAGCCCTACACTTATGCAAGAAAAACCCAAAGTACACATATAGACTAGGTGAAACCAGGCTCAATAGCAGTAACTGTGAGAGGGATCTTGGAGTCTTAGTGGACAACCAGCTGAATATGAGCCAGCAGTGTGCAGCCGCTGCCAAAAAAGCTAATGAAATCCTAAGTTGTATTAACAGAGGGATACAGTCAAGATCAAAGGAAGTACTAATACCACTTTATAAAGCCTTAGTAAGACCACACCTAGAGTACTGCATCCAGTTTTGGTCACCGCATTATAAAGATGTTGAGACTCTAGAAAAAGTACAGAGAAAAGCAACCAGGATGATTAGGGGACTGGAGGCTAAAACACACAACGAACAGTTGCAGGAACTGGGCTTGGCTAGTCTAGTCAAGAGAAGGACCAGGGGAGACATGATAGCGGTCTTCCAATATTTGGGGGGCTGCCACAGGGAGGAAGTGGTCAAGCTATTTTCTAAAGCTCCTGTAGGCAAGACAAGGAATAATGGATGGAAACTGAACAAGGAGAGATTTAACCTGGAAACAAGGAGAAACTTTCTGACAGTGAGAACAATCAACCAGTGGAACAGCTTGTGGGAGCGCCATCAGTTGAAACTTTCAAGAAGAGATTGGACTGCCATTTTTCGGAAATAGTGTACGGTCTCCCGCTTCGGTGGGGGGTTGGACTAGATGACCTACAAGGTCCCTTCCAACTCTGATTATCTTTATCTAATGGGAATCTAACTTTGCCAAGAGTCAGAGGTCCAAATTATTCTTTTTGTTTTTTAAGCAAATTTTATTAATTTTACAAAACAATATACAAACAAACAAAACATAAAATATAATGACATAAGAAATCTTTTTCTAAAAAAACCAATACAACATCTTATTTAAAGACAGAATTATTCCAAATTATCACATTTCTATATAAACACAATTTAGTATATATATTTACCTTATCTGTTCAACTTCATATCTTATCCCGAACTTCTCTTTATTACTCCCTTTCCTTCTATTTATTCAAATTATATCTCTTTAACTTTAGATTGTATACATTTTTTTATCCATCTGTCTTATACAATTTCATTGTTCTCTTCCAATACAAAAACAAACAAAACATAAAACATAAAA